ACGCACCCCCACACCCCCTCACCCGCCCGGTGGGATTCAATGGTAGTAAAAGTAGTGTAGTACAACCCCACTAGTACAATGACGTTCGAGTGTCTGAGCCGGCATTTGTGTGTACATACACACTCTGTTGTCCTGATTCATTCTATCCCCCCTTTGCGAGATTGACCAATCACCCACACCGATTCTCTTCCCAGTGACGGAATGGGAATTTATTTTATTTTATTTTTTTTGGCGGGGGGATTTTAATGGAGGATGTTTAATTAATTTGAGAATGCAACATGTAATTTTCGCTCCACGCCCGAAAATTCAACAGCCTCGTTCACCGGATCAATCGTATACGTGAGAGAGAAGAGAGGTATTCGCACCCCCGAAGGGCGGCGCGCCACGCGAGTCATCGACATCCCGAGAGCACCGAGGCTGGAATGACCCGGGCGTCGCGACGCCAGCGCCGCTGGGATCCCCCCTCTCCCACGAGGTTTTTTTCGCTCTTTCGCGGCGGGAGGGTGGAGGGGCGGCGGAGGGAAAGGGAAATTCTGGGTGAGGGCGAGAGGAATCCCGAAGTTTGCGGAGGACCTGGGGCTGAGGCGGTTGGAAAGGCAATTGGAGGGAACAATTTGGGATATTCCGGGGGGTGAAGCGAGTAGAATAGTAGTCTTGCTGAGGATTTTGGCGAATGTTATTCTTGTACTGAGAAAAACAGCTCTCATATGCTGCAGATAGTTACTTGAGACTAGTGATTTTTCTCCAATCGCTTAATTCGCCCAGGCTTCTCAAGTCATGCTTTAAAATGTTCTTATTCTTAAATATGTTTTTGTCGCAGATGAATACTTAAAGATTGACGATTCTTCTGGGCAAATCGCGTAGAAGAATCGTCAATCTTCAAGTATTTATTGTTTTCACGATATTTTTTTCCGTTAGGATACCCGTTCCGAAATTTTTTATGTGCCGCCTCAAAAGACTCGAAATAAGTTTTAAAAAATCCTCTCAAAATTGCAGCACTATCTCAATTCTGAAACATCCCTAAGCGCTTTGTTTCGCCCCATAACAATAACACGGGATTTTTATGGAAAATTCGAATATATTCCCCTCCCCCCCTGCTAAGTCACTGAAAATTTTATAATCATGGGAAATTACTGAGTAAATGAACTACTTTTCACGGAAATTTTTCGTTTTTCATCCACACAGTACGTCAGGAATTCTACAATTTTATTATTCCGTTAATTCAATAACACTCATCAAAAATTCTCGGAGGGAAGGAATAATGACGTCACACCTCTCTACAGTTCGTAGCTGACTCACTACGAGGCGCCACTTCCGTTTCATTGTCATGAATAAAGTGAGGTTAATCATCGTAATTTTTCACCCCATTTATCTATGATATTGTTCCAAATAATGCTTTAATTGATGCCAAGACCACTCAACTTCATTTCTCTCGATCGCACTGATTTCATTTCTCAAGACAGAAATTCGACGAGAGTTTGCGTTAACAGACCAGAGGTGTGACGTCATTCAAGGTCATCTGACCGTTTTATAATTATCAGCTTTCCATCATTTTCTTTATTGTAAAAAACAGCGTTTGCGAAGTTTTACTTCGAATTTAGATATACATTGTCATAAATAATAAAATGAAAGAAAAAAATCAAGAATATTCTTCTTGGGTTAATAAAATTAATCAGAGGTCTGATTTAAATATTTTTCACTGCTAAAGTTTTTTTCGTCATGGGAACCTCGGACTTTATTAAAAAATCAATGGAAACTAAATTTTAGTGCAATTATTCTATGAAAATTAATAGAAATCAAGAAAATTCGAATATATTCTGGAGTTTTTAATGAATTAATTCAATGAATTCCGAATCTTCTAAACTCCAAATATTTTCAAAACACTTTATACTAATCTTTGGATTCATCTCTAGTTTTCCCCAGTTCTGCTCAATAAAAAGACAACGATTTTGACCATCTTTTTTATTTCACAATAATTAAAAATACATAACTTTTCACCTCTAGCCATTACATTCCAATAATTCTGCACCTCCCCAAAGAATAATAAATGTCAGGCAAATGTTGAGCCTTCAAAACACAAGTGTTACACATAATTATTATCATCTGGACGTGTTATCAAATTGTCATATCTACTGGATCGTTAATAATGTCGGTTAAATGATGCGATAATGAGTACGTATACAATATATACAGTCCTTATGAGTTAATAAACGTCTGGAGCACTGAATATATCCAATAGCTGTATCACAAATGTTGTCTCTCCCAATTTTCCCCGTTTTGATGGAATTTTTCTCCATTCTTATCAGTTTCCAACGCATTTTTGCCAGGCCAGACCCCCACAGAACATGGAAACGATGAAGTAGACGACGACTATTAGAACAGCACCAACGATTGCGTAGATTTTTATGTTTTTCCAGAACAGAGATCTTGCCAAGTTCCTGCTGGTCTTTCTGAATGTTACAGACTGCAAAGAATCATAAATAATTTATTTCTTCGTTTATTAAAGCGTTCAACTGATGGAATGAATATATTTCATAAAAACATCCATCACTTTATCAAATATTGATGGATTGAATAAAATATACCCGTCAACGGAATTCATTTTAAGAATACATAGTGAAATTTTTATGAGAAAAATTTAGAGCTGGAAAAAATTCAATATTTCCCGTCAATTTCATCATATTATCCAAAGTTGTATCTCAAAATATTACATAAGTTATTTCATTTCATTGTGTACTCATTTTTATCGGCTCAGTAATGACCAGAATTGATGGAATTGTTCTGATTCAGTCGACTTGAATCAATATTTTGGGTTTGAATACTTCTACTTACACTGGCAGTCAAATTTTCAGTCTTATTAACAAGCAACTCCAATCGTTCTCCTCTCATTGCGATGTTATCAATATTCCTGACCATGATGTCTTTCAATTCATCCAATTCTCCGTGTACTTTTGACAGAGTGTCGATGTCCTTTGATTCGCTGTAGTGTCTCTGCAGAAAAATAATCATCAATAAATCTCAATTCGACGATTTTCATCAACAATTTGTAATTCTCATCTGTTTATGGCGTTTTACCATTTCATTGGCTAATACTCTTGAGAATTCAGTGTTCATGGCGTAGGCCAGGGCAGCCTGTGCACCAGGTCCATAGCTAGCTTGAAATCTCCTCTTGATCTCGTTCAGAAACAAAAAAGCTCGCGATCGTTGAAAGTCCTGAGGAGAATGAATAAAACTTGTAGCAATCATAGATTATTTAGAATAAAGTTCTTAAAGGTGTTCAAGAGCTTTTACAATTTATTCTTCGTTAGAATCTTCATCAATATTTGTAGTTGAAGATCAGAGCTATCTTTTTGGACTCATTGGATCGTAGATTATTAAACGATTGATGTTTTTATTGTTTGTTTAGGCGGTTGAAGTAGATTTTGACTGTTGGTCAATTTTTAATGAATATCTCGGAAACTAAGGGAGATAGCAAAATTTTTGTAATGACTTTTTTTGTAGAGCGAATTAAGGACTACAAAAAAGGTTATGGCAAAAATTTTGCTATCTCCCCTAGATTTCGAGATATTCATTGAAAACTGGCTAATAGTCAAAATCGAATTTACAAAAAATCAAATCCATGCCGAAAAAAATAAGGTTTATGCATAAGAAGACAATGTTTCGAAGTAATTTTTCCCAACATGTTATTTGAATATCCCCAACAGGAAAAATTCTCACATCGTCTGAAATGCACATGTAGATAATCCTGTCCTCACAGATGTAGTGAAAGAGGTAAGGTCCTTGGGAGTACGTGAGTTTGTCATCTTGGGGTGGTATTTTCGACAGAATTTGCTCAGTCACTTCCTCGAAGTTCCCCGAGCACGAGGCATACTTGGCCAGTACTGTGGGGCCACGTGCAACGACACTGTACAGCAGTGGCATATTGATAATTCTAAAATATTCGAAAACAAAATTTCGATTATTGACTCTCCCAAAAGAAAATCATCATCAACACTAGCGATACATTCCAATTTCGACGTTGAATACCTCAAGCAATAAAATCTGAATTAATAAGGAAACAGGAAAAAATTCTATCGCCAGTTCTCGACATTTCTCTCAACTTTTTCCTAAAAAATCACTCATTAACGAAATAATAGTAAAAATAATCATAAAGCATTTAAGAAATTCAATGAGACAACAATCTTGGGAATAAAATAGAAACAAATTTCTAAAATAATTGAAAATGCGTTGAAAATGTAAACAATGGGTTCAATTCTTCAAGAATGTGTCAGGAATGATTCTCCCAAAAGCAAATCATAATCAACACTAGAGACACATACAAATATCGACGTGGAATACCTCAAAGAGTACAATCTGAATTAATAACAAAACAGGAAAAAATTCGATCGACAGTTCTCGACATCTCTCGAGACTTTTTCCTAAAAAATACTAATAATAACTCATTAACGAAATAATCACAAAACTAATCATAAAGCATTTAAGAAATTCAATGAGCAAACAATCTTGGGAATAAAATAGAAAAATAAATCTCTGAAAATAATTGAAAATGCTTTGTAAGGAATGGGTTCAATTCCTCAAGAATGTGTCAGGAATGTTCAGCGACCACATGAGTACTTGTTTAATTTTTGTATTTTCTTACTGAACAATAGGAGGAGGTGACTCTAACCTACTTGACAGAAAAACAATTCCCCCAAACAAGTATGAAACCCAGTACCCAATCCTGTCCTTTCGTTCATTGTCGAGAGAATGAATACAACAAAAATGATAGTGATGAGCGAACACATTTGAAGAAGCATAACAGTACTCGCGTAACAATGCGTAAATTACAAGGCATAAAGAAAAGACTGTCGACAATGAATAAATCGCAGTTACTCACCCGGACGATAAAATAAGACGTATTAATCCGTCAACTTTCACAGAGCTATTTGAGATGACGTTGCTTGATGCCTCTTCGAACTAATAAACTGCCTGATGTCAATTCACATCGATACAATTATCGTTTTGATTAATTAGCATCGAGGGTGGGTTTTATTTAAGTTATGTAGTATTGAGAGAAACGTCAAGAGAGATGGCAGATGCGAGTACTAGAGATCCCCCACTCCTAGCTCGAGTACCACTGCGCAGTCTTTGAGACGCAGAACGTATGGCGCTCATCCGTTTAAATCGTTTGAATTCGATCGAGAACGGCATGACTTGTTATTAGGGGTGAGCGATGTTTGTCAATTAATCGATTCTCAACGACTGATCAATCAATTTTCCAAACATCGATGTTTTGGATCAAGTTGACAAAATTTCTCTTTTTTTTCATCGAATACTAATGTTGATTGATTGAAAATACGAACAGAATAGTATTTACACGGAAGCGAAAAGTAAGTGAATGCTTTGCCAGAAGCTCGTCTTTGCAGAAAATTCGCGAAAAATTCAAAGTTATTAGCTGTGCAGGACGGTGCTTACATTTTTAGAAAAAAGTGAAATTTCATGGACAATTGACTACTAATTGTCAAACCAGTGACATTGAATGCAATTTAGTGGCAAAAAAAACATAAAGTTTCAGGTTTCCCTGAAAATACAAAAAAAAACTTTTTCAGTTTTCACGTTTTGCACTTACTTTTGAGAGTTCTGAATAGCCCGTCGCTTAAATAGTTGGAATCAACGTTCACCCGGCTAAAAAATTCGATTTTGGCGAAAAATCCAAGATCTGACACTTTGACCCTTGTGACCCTTGGACCGACTTTCCCCCCGGAAAAATCCAAGATCCGACACTTTGGCCTCCGGTGAAAAATTTTTTTTTTCATTTTTCACTTTTTCCACATACTTTTGATAGTTCTGAATAGCCCGTCGCTTAAATAGTTGGAATCAACGTTCACCCGGCTAAAAAATTCGATTTTGGCGAAAAATCCAAGATCTGACACTTTGACCCTTGTGACCCTTGGACCGACTTTCCCCCCGGAAAAATCCAAGATCCGACACTTTGGCCTCCGGTGAAAAATTTTTTTTTTCATTTTTCACTTTTTCCACATACTTTTGATAGTTCTGAATAGCCCGTCGCTTAAATAGTTGGAATCAACGTTCACCCGGCTAAAAAATTCGATTTTGGCGAAAAATCCAAGATCTGACACTTTGACCCTTGTGACCCTTGGACCGACTTTCCCCCCGGAAAAATCCAAGATCCGACACTTTGGCCTCCGGTGAAAAATTTTTTTTTTCATTTTTCACTTTTTCCACATACTTTTGATAGTTCTGAATAGCCCGTCGCTTAAATAGTTGGAATCAACGTTCACCCGGCTAAAAAATTCGATTTTGGCGAAAATCCACTTGCCCCGGAAAACCCGAAAATCTGACCCTTTGGCTAGGGCCAAAAAAAACGGTTTCTCAGTTTTCACTTTTTCCACATACTTTTGACAGTTCTGACTAGCCCGGCGCTTAAATAGTTGGAATCAACGTTCACCCGGCTAAAAAATTCGATTTTGGCGAAAATCCACTTGCCCCGGAAAACCCGAAAATCTGACCCTTTGGCTGGGGCCAAAAAAAACGGTTTCTCAGTTTTCACTTTTTCCACATACTTTTGACAGTTCTGAATAGCCCGGCGCTTAAATAGTTGGAATCAACGTTCACCCGGCTAAGAAATTCGATTTTGGCGAAAAATCCAAGATCTGACAAAGCCCTTGTGACCCTTGGACCGACTTTCCCCCCGGAAAAATCCAAGATCCGNTAAACAGTTTCTCAGTTTTCACTTTTTTCACATACTTTTGACAGTTTTGACTAGCCCGGCGCTTAAATAGTTGGAATCAACGTTCACCCGGCTAAAGAATTCGATTTTGGCGAAAGTCGACTTTCCCCCTGGGAAAACGTAAACTCTGACCGTTTGAAAATCTGAAAAAAAAACTTTTTCAGTTTTCACTTTTTCCACACTTTTGAGAGTTCTGAATAGCCCGTCGCTTAAATAGTTGGAATCAACGTTCACCCGGCTAAAGAATTCGATTTTGGCGAAAGTCGACTTTCCCCCTGGGAAAACGTAAACTCTGACCGTTTGAAAATCTGAAAAAAAAACTTTTTCAGTTTTCACTTTTTCCACACTTTTGAGAGTTCTGAATAGCCCGTCGCTTAAATAGTTGGAATCAACGTTCACCCGGCTAAAGAATTCGATTTTGGCGAAAGTCGACTTTCCCCCTGGGAAAACGGAAAATCTGACCCTTTGAAAATCTGAAAAAAAATTTTTCAGAGGGGGAAAGTCGGCCCTCGTGACTCTTTGACCGACTTTCCCCCCGAAAAAATCCAAGATCTGACACTTTGGCCCCCGGTGAAAAAAAAAATTATCAGTTTTCATCTGACCCTATGGTTCCGGGTGAAAAAATTTTCATTTCGACATTTGTCGCGCCTTTAGGAGTTTCATTGGCATCAGAATTGTTAGAAAATACAGATTTAACCGTCACCTACCGAAAAATAGTATCTTACGTCATAAGGCGATAAAAGTATTATCCGACGAATGTGACTTTATAATCCGAGCCTAAGGCGAGGATTATAATCACATGATTTGTAATTGATCAGCTGGTCAATTAAAAACATACGATTGGCTGACCCCCCCCCCCCTCCCCATCCCTCACCATCACAGGGGAAGACATAAAGACAACCCCCAGACATCGGAGCTCAGAATCGGAGTTCATAGCCCTGAAGATGCAGACTGCAATGTTTGCGAAACGTCGGCGCAATGCTGAAACCAAACGTGCCATCCGGAAGCCATCCGGAAGCCAATAACGTCAACCCATGAATTACTTGGCCGATACACTACCGCGCACCCTAATCAGTCCTCCGCACTTACCACACACCGATAAACCAGATTCCCCAAGAATTTATTTCTCATTATGCTCACCCACGGTCTCTTCCGTAAGCGGGGTGCTAGAGGGGCCGCCAGTGGCTAACAGTACCATTGAGCCCGCATAGTAGAAAAGATGGCAGAAGAAAATACTCTCGCGTTACACGAATGACTTTAGCCCACCGTCGAATGGGCCAAACAATATGTGCGGTGTACATTGTAACAGTGTTATTCAAGTACTCATAGCCCCATTAACCGTGTAACATGAGATTATTGGCGTCTCCATCTCGGGGGTAACACAGGTAAGCCGGTTTGATTACTCGTCTCACGCAGTTACATTTAACTCAGTATATTATGTACAACCCGAACCAAAGTAAATGGCAAGAGTCTGGTGTATGTGGCCCGTCGGGCTATCGTCTGTGCGGCGAGCTGTGGCGGGGAGGGGCAATTTTGACAATCGAGGGTATCAGTTGTCCTTCAGACACTTCCCAGAAGCCGAGGGAAGAAAGGAATTCCCTTTTTTCTCCCCATCACACCACTTTTGTCTACTCTAATTTGACGTGTGTGCGAGAGCCACTAAAGCGTGGCCTCGACGTCATATATCTCAGCCACTCTTTTTTTTTTCCCTCTTCTCCCTCTTTTCACGGTCAGAGATTGATTTGCAAGATGAGGGCACGCGATATCCCGACAATGCACCGCCAGTTATTGCGAAAATACATCGGATATATGATTTCCCCCCGATTCATTCGGTGAATCGAATCTCTATTTTTTTTTTCCAGATAGTTTGATTATTTAGTACTAGTGTAAAATGGATGGAACTGGAGCTAAAGAGCTCCAGCCACTGCTGGAGGAACGTCTTGCCATTCTACCTGGTGGTCGTGATCGTCGTGGTGGACCTGTCCTCATATTTCCAACGACAGCTAGACGAGAGAGAGCCAAATCCGAGGACTACTGTAAATTATTGCAATACCTACTGGCAGTACCAAATGACGAGACAAGAAGTCTACGTTTCACTGTGATTATTGATATGCGTGGTGCCACGTGCGACTCGGTTCATCAGATATTAAAGGTCCTTCAGGAGCACTTTCATCGCTCAATCTACGTTGCATTCATCATAAAACCCGAGAATTTTTGGCAGAAACAGAGAATATCACTGTCTATACCGAAAAAATGCAACTTCGAGGTGAGTTGTTTGTAGTTTTTTCCCCTCACACTTTTGCCCTTTTTTTTCTAAATGGGAACAATCAATAGGGAATAGCCCAGCTCGAATGCAGATACGTGACTCTGTGTTTGTGTATCAGTGAATAGAAGATAGGACTTGGCGCAAGTCGACACTGTCCTACTTTGGCACAAGTACTCTATTCTACACAATTGCATCCAACAATGTGCCTATACCTCAGAGAATAGAGGGAAAAAAATACCGCTGATTTTTAATAGTGTACCACACTGGGAGGAAAATGTTGCAAAACGGACGGATTAGTTTTTGACTCAAACGCTCAGGGCTTTCAATAGGGCCAAATGAAGCTGAATCTAGCGGAATATTCGTCAGCGGAAAATTCAATTTAGGGGATATTTAAGTGTAGGAGAGTCAAATAATCATGTGTACAAATGTTTTTTAAGTGCGAAAGAATTTGTACATTACTCAAAAACATTTGTATACCCCTAGATTCGCCTAAGACAAATCTTCTGCTGTCGAATCTTTCGCTTGTTTCAGCTTCATTGGGGCCAATAAAACAATCCACTTGCGATACGGATCATGTCGTCACTTTGAGTCGATTGCATGATTAAGGTATATCCCTTGAAAACACGATTTTCTCAAGACGAGATCGAAGACAATTCGGTAGATTTTTCATGATTCATCCCGTTATTATTTAAGTTGGTTGGAATCAATGCGTTTCTTCACGTATACGAATTTCTATAGTATTACCAAGGAGAAATTCGTGGGAAGCGATGAAAACTTTTATTGAAAATTCATGATTTTTTTCATTGCAAAGGGATGGAAATTTCCATCGAGAACCAATAGAAGATACGGCGAAAGCCATGAAAACTTGCATTAGAAACCGAAGGATTTTCTATAGAAATCTATCGAAACTTCTGTTAAAAGTCCTCGAAAAAATCGTCGAAATCTATGAAAACTTCAATTGAGCATCGTCATGTATGCGATTTCTCTTTCACACACTTAGCAATAAACGCGTGACATCTTCTTTTTATATAAGATCGTCCCCATGTTTTTGATAGATAATGTTTATAATAGTCCCCAGCTATTGATGCTGTTGCATTGA